AGGATTATGGAGATCTCATCATCCCAACATGGTAGCCAAGAGAGACAGATACGTGGTGACCTGGGATGTGACACACAGCCAGCCTCTGAAGTAAGGGTGGGCTTCAAGGCCTGAGCCCTTATACCCATGGAGTATAACTCCCGGTAGTTAGCGTTGGGATTGAATCGAATTGTGATAAACAGAAACATTCTGAGATGTCCTAAATTTAGTTACAAGGTGAGGGACGGGGGAGAGGAGAGGTAAGAGAAACTATTCAGCTAACAACTTCAGCCAAATCAGCAACAACAACAAAATACCTACTCCATGTTGCTAACCAGGTGTGGGGGTGCACACCTGGAATCCCAGTGATTCTGGAGGCTGAGGCAAGAGAATTGAAAGTCTGAGGCCAGCCTGGGCAGCTTAGAGAAACCTTGTCTCAAAATAAATAAAAGGAAATAAAAGAGGCTGGGGATAAAGCTCACAAGTAAAATGTCCCTGGACTCTATCCTCAGTGCAGCCGAAAAACAAGCAAACCCTATCTATTCTGTGTTCCTACATATATTGAAACCATAACTCAAAACCTTGGGAGAATGACCTTGAAGGTGCCATCACATTCTGCTTATATCCCCAAGTGAGAAGCAAGTGCATCTCCGTGCAGACTATTCTATTTCCAAATTTACCCACTTCACATTGCCCACCCCTCTTATCTCTAGCCCATGTGGGTTATAGAGCTTTCAATCCCCCAAATTTAAAAAAAAATACTCTTTACTCTGGCTACAGACATTTTTCCAGCTGCTGCTGGTAGTTGTGGGAACTTGTCCCAGAACCTAACCCTTTTCCTGGCTAACATCTGTCATGGCTCAATAAACCTTCTTATTTCAGAGATCCCTTGATCTGTAGTCTTGGTTTTACGAGAGGAAACCCCAGTGGTCCTTCCAGTGCTTTATCTCAGAGTGCTCATGTCATGAGCTTCCTGTGGTCTGACGTCCACGCCTGACCCCTTGATGTGTCAGGAACCAATGGACAGCCGCTGGACTCTTGCACAGCAGTTTCTCGTGTTGGTCGCCCTACTTCAACGTGTTTAGTCTTGGGCCAGGTTGCCCAGGAACTCTAGAGAAAGAGTGTGGCTGCCCAGGCATCTCCAAGCCCTTTAGTGTCTTTACTTAATTCCAGCTTTTATTCTTTATTTTCCCCCTAAGTACTGGGGATTGAACCCAGGGCCTTGCAGACATGCTAGGCAAGTGCTTTATCCCTGAGCTACATCTCCAGACTTTTCTTGTTTGGAGACAGGGTCTCTCTATAAGATGCTGAGGCTGACCTTAAATTTGTAATTCTTCTGTGACTCTTTGGGATTGCAGGCATGTGCCACTGTGCCTAGCTGAACTTCCGTCTTAGATGCCATGTCTACCTGGACACTTCTATCACCACCTCCATGTCTTGCCCAGACTTTGCAATGACTGTTTTGCTGGGCTCTCCAAGTATGTTCAGTCCCTTCTGCAGGAATTTTGCAAATCTGACTGTGTCACTCTTCTGCTCAAATGTTCAGTACCTTTTCCTATTGCCCTGAAGATGCAGACCTGCCCCTCCCTCTGCCCAGGCCCTGCTTAGGCTGCACCTGCACATCACTGGGGCTCCTCTCCCATCGCTCCCTCCTGCTCACCGAGCTCCTCCCACTGCTCTGACAGTGCCAGGCTCCCTTCACCAGGCCTCTGGCTCCAAGCATTCTCTTTGCCTAGAATTCATCTAGAATTTTTCCTTCATTCTGTCGCTACCAAGTTAATGGATTCACATCCTATAGTTGTCAGCTCAAAGGACACTTCATCAGTGAAACCCTCCTGACCTCCCAGGTCCACATTGTCATCCCCAAGAATGGACCCCCTTTCCTCCAGAGCTTGTGTTTTTAGGTGTGCAGATCCTCAACACATCTGCAAGCTCTTGGAGTGCAGGGATTACACAAACTCACCCCCACGCGGCATCTGGCACACATCTCTGCATAGGATGGATAGATGGGTGCTCCCTGTGGTCTACCTCCTGATGGCCCCCTGTCCCCATGCTCTCCACTGCACCTCTGCCATGGTATCCTTTCTTCTGTCCCCATCTTGGAGAGTGTCATAGTCAGCTTGAGCTGCCATAAAAAATAATCATAGACTGAGTGGCTTGAACAGTAGACATTTATCTCTCCCAGTTCTGGAGGCTGGAAGTCCAAGATCAAAGTGCCTGCTGAATTGGTTCTTCTGTTGCTGTTGTTTTTTTTTTCCGGGGTTGGGGGAGGTTGCTGGGGATTGAACCCAGGGATGCTCTACCCCTGAGCCATACCTCCAGCCTTTTCATTTTTCTGTTTTGAGACAGGGCCTTACTAGTTGCGTAGGGCCTTGCTAAATTGCTGAGACTGCCTTTGAACTTGCAATGCTCCTGCCTCAGCCTCCCGAGTTGGTAGGATTACAGACATGGCACCACCGTGCCTGGCCAGAGTTGGCTTTTGCTGAGGGCTTCCTAGCTGCAGACAGCTGCCTCTGACTGTACCCTCACGTGGCAGGAAGAGGAAGCTCTGAGGTTTCTTTCTCTTCTTATATGAGCACTAATCCATCATGAGGTCTCGACCCTCATGACCTCATCTAAAACGAATTATCTTCAAAGATCCCGCTTCCTAATACCATCACATTGGGGGTTAGGAATTTTATATGAATTTGGGGAGACTTGAGCTTCAATCTGTATCTATGAGCTCCTATGCACCCCCAAGTTCCTGCTCTACTGTCATCTCCTAGATGCCCTCCGGGCTGAGCCAGTGGCTCTCACCTTTGGATTTTTTCTTTTCGGTGACTTTGAGCTCCTCCACACCTCTCATTCATGCCCAGCCTAGCTCCCAGGGCTCCAGTTCATGTTCAGCGATGGTGCTGCCATGAATGTAATGCCTGTCTTTAGGGCCTGAGGTTTCTGATTTGCTGTTCTGGCACCTAGGTATCTGCCCCCAACCCTCTGCACACACTGAATCTCTGTCTATAAAACAGTTGGGTGCGTTTCCCCACCTCTGGGAGTGTTTTTCATGTGATCTCTTTTGTCAAGGAAAACAAACATCCAATGCTCCCCTAAAGCCACATCCTTAAACTTAATATGTGAACAATGACAGTTACAGGAAGACAGAGACTTTTGCATGCATGGCTGAGCATGATTGATTTAATCTAGTTGCTAGTGAGCTTCACATGTCCATGACACATGACCCTAAGCATAGGCCATGTATTCTGCTGTCACTCTAAAGCATGAAGGTGTTTCTAAATGTTTGCATTTCTGAAAGCTTAAAGAATTATGTGAATTTTTGAGGCTAATGTAATTAAAGATTTTATTTAAACTTCTTAATACTTGATGAGTGACTTTTTTCTTACAGCCTCCCAGACTAGCCTCTGTGAAATGTGCCAGGTTCAGCTGATTGATTGCAAAATCACTCAAGCAGCAAGTTAAATCCAGAGCTCCAGCCTCCTTTAACTGTTCCCTCTCCTCTGCTCCTGCCCGGCCTGCAGGTCTCACCTATGGCACTCCCTGCTGCAGACAGGGGCTGCTGCAGGTCAGCCCTGTAGCCCTCCTGCTGCTGCCTGGGTTGCTGCTCCCTCCTTCTTTCCCACTTTCTCCTTTCGACTCCTTCCTCTGTGGGCTCCCAACACTCCTTCTTACGGCGCAGCTCTGAGGAAGTGGTGGTAGGCTCCGAACCTTCTCATACCCTCCACTGCTTACCAGATACAGGGTACACACCACGTGGCCCTGGATTATCTTCTCTGAAATGCCTTCTCAAATCTCTGCCCCACCTCGTGCTCCGATTCTTTGTTTCTCTCCCCTCCCTTTCATTTTATGTTCTCTCCACCAATGTCGGAACACCTGTCCACCTTTCCATCAGTGAGAAACTCTGCTGAGAGTTCACCTCGGGACCCTTTCTCCCACCCCATCCCGTTCTGCTCTCCTTCACACACAGGGCCCTTGCTCTGCCGGTCCTACTGCTCTCTACCCCATGCCTATTCAACAGGGGTGCATAGCCTCTGGTGGAGCCAAAGGTGGTTCTTGAGGGGAAGAGGGGAAGATCTTAGATGTTACAATGGTCTGTGGCTGTCTGAGCAGATATACACTGTATCTGTGGAATTAAGAGTTCATAGGGCTGGGGATATAGCTCAGTTGGTAGAGTGTTCGTCTCACATGCACAAGGCCCTGGGTTCAATCCCCAGCAACACACACAACACACACATAAAAGAGTTCACTGTGAGGGCAATTTAAATATATATATATATCTAAAAAGGATTTTTGGCAGTTAGGGCAGGGGACAGAAATGAGAAAAAAAATTGAGAAACATTGCTCTTTATGCTCAGCCAGGGAGAGGGATTCTGCAGGTGTGATGAGATTTAAATGAAATTGATGGACCTGTGTGGTGGGGCACACCTATAATCCCAGCGGCTCAGGAGCCTGAGACAGGAGGATCACCAGTTCAAAGCCAGCCTCAGCAAAAACAAGGTGTTTAGCAACTCAGTGAGACCCTGTCTCTAAATAAAATACAAAATAGGGATGAATATGTGGCTCACTGGTCGCGTGCCCCTGAGTTCAGTCTCTGATACCACCCCCACAAAGTAAAATAAAATTAAATTGATAGTTATTCAGTGCTTAGAATGGTGCCCAGTGCATAGAAAAAACACAATATGTTTTTATTGTGCACATACGGTGTCTGGGCACTACACAGAGATTTTTACATATATCGTCTCATTTAATGTCATACTTACCCTGTGAGGGAACTACCATTATCATCAGACAGGCTTAGGGAGCTTGGTTTCCTGGTTTAATGTCAAATCTCTGATAACCAAGAGGCAGGAATAAAACCTCTGTCTGACTTCAATGCCTGACCCAAGACCCAATAGGGAAGTGAGCTCTGTCCTCACAACAGGGTGAAGTCACCTACTATTGGGGGACAGAGAAAGAGAGAGCAGTGAATTACCCATACATGCAGCCTGAAATTGCCTTGATCTGATGGAACTCCCCTGTGTGCCCAGGGCCATGATGATGACAGCCTGTGATCTCTCAGCCATCACCAAGCCCTGGGAGGTGCAGAGCAAGGTATGGGCCCCTCTTGACCCAGAGGCGGGGAGCCCATCCTGCTGACAGCAGGTAATGAGGCCTGGAGTCTCTCAAGTCTGACCCAGAGTTCATGCACCTTTGCTCCAGCCGCCTCTGCCAAGACTGAGGAATTTGCTTTCTGTTTTTTCCAGTGACAATAAAAAGTGGGGGTGGCAGGGCAGGGGTGGGTTTATCTTTGTTGCTAAGTTGGAAACACAAGTGGGGTGGAAGCAGGGACAGGATTGGGGTTGGGGCTCTGACCTGGAGTGTGTGTGTGTGACAGTGTCTATCTGTTGCAGGTGGCTCTGCTGGTGGCAGCGGAGTTCTGGGAGCAAGGCGACCTGGAGCGCACAGTGCTGCAGCAGAGTCCCATTGTGAGTAGACAGGGGACGTTGGCTGATTGCTAGACACGTGTGATCTCATCCTGACCCAAAGACATAACCCCTGGCATAGAGATGCATGACCTTACCCTAATGCACGGCGCCCAGAGGGTCCCTGATGGCCCTCAACCTCATTGCCTGAGAACAGATTAGAGATGCAGATTCACAGGCCTTCCTTCCAGAAGCTGGGCGGGGGGGCAGCTAGCAATATGTGCTCTGATGAGCCCTCCTATTGGAGGACCTTGTTCTGGTGCAAGTGTCCTTAGCTCACTCAGCTGCACAGAGCCTGAGAAGTGGACACCACGACTTAGAGTCTTGTCACTCTTTCAGTGCCAACAGTGTAGGGGTCCACCTCCCCTGGGCCGGTGCTGACAGTGCAGAGTGAACAAGGGAAGACTTCGTGAAGCTGTGAGCCTGACACACTTGAAAGTTCCCTTGGCTGGGACAGTCAGCTGGCTTCCTGGGAGGCCAGATACAGGGTGTCTCAAAGACCCTGAGGGCAGAGCTCCGAAGTAGAGGAGAGTTTGGAGAGGAGGGGGACAAATCACTCATGGGGAACCAACTAAACCAAGAGTGTGTAGGGGTGAGGGGCCTCCCATAGGAGAGAGCAAGAGGAACAGGTAGGGTCATGAATGGGAGCCTTGAGGGCCAAAAAGAGTTGCGGTTCTTGCTGGGAGCAGTGGTGCCTGCCTGTAATCCTAGTGGCTGGGGAGGCTGAGGCAGGAGGATCTCAAGTTCAAAGTCAGCCTCAGCAACTTAGTGAGGCCCTCAGCAATTCAGTGAAAGCTCCTTCTAAATAAAATATTTAAAAAGGGCTGGGGATATGGCTCAGTGTTAAGTGCCTCTGGGTTCAATCCTTGGTACTAAAAATAATAATGTGTATAATCATAATATAGACAAAAACATGCATACATGCATATAACCACAATATCCTCACCACACTCACAAGATTAATAATTATACTTTAATATCATCCAATCCTCAATCTCTGCTCTTTTTTCTTGATTGAGAAAAAGAATTCAGTTGATTTGTTCAAATCAGGACCCAGTCAAGGAACAGACTGTCCCCAGTTATTATGTCTATTAAGTCTCTTTTAAATCAATAGTAGGTTCTCCATTCCTACCTGCTCCCTGGCTTTTTTTTTTTTATGACCTTTACTTATTGAAGACCATAGGTCTTTTGTTGTGTAGTTTCCTACATTCTGGATTTTATAGATTTTACCCTTAGGGTATTATTTGACGTGGTCCCTATTCCCTCTTATTTCTTGCAAAGTGCTAGTCAGATCTGAAAACTTGGTGAGTTTAGGATTTAAATTCTGTTTAACTTTTTACTATTTATTTATTTATTTGGAGGGGAGACATTTGTTGAGTATTTTTCAGAAAGTAAATGCATATTAAAGGGGAAAACATCCACCTTATCATAATATCTAGTGTGAAGATCTTCCCCCCTCCCTATTTATTTCTTTTTAGCAAGAATGCTTCATTAGGTAGCGTGGGCTCTTACTGCCCAGTGCTGTTAACTCTTTCTCCCCCTGACAGCCCATGATGGACAGAAACAAGGCGGATGAACTCCCTAAGCTTCAAGTCGGCTTCATTGACTTTGTGTGCACCTTTGTCTACAAGGTAGGCCCTGGGCTTCCTCAAACCCAGATAGATGTCTTTGTTAAGCCTGGGATCCCTAAGACTTCAGGGATAATAAACACAGCAAGGTAACCAGGGGGGATACTTCACGAAGTGCTTTCCATCTCCAGTGGCATTTGGACCTCAGAGCAGCTCTAGAGGGACAGGGTGATTGTGTCACCAGGCTGGAGCCTGGAGCTTAGCACACCTTAGTTGTTCAGTAAATTTTTGGGGGCCAGATGATTCAGCCTGGTTTCAGACAGGGGAAGAGGAAAGAGCACACACATAGCCTCCTAAACTGGTGGGAATGTGACAGGCCAAAGTCCAGAATTTTTCTTGGATTTTTTGTTCAAGGTTAAAGTCTCCCTCTAGAAACCCACTGCTTTTAAATGCACCTCTGCTCTCCACACCCTTTAAATTTTTTTATTTTGGTGACATGATAGGTGAAGAGACAGAGTTTAGAGATGAGCAATGCCAGGTCCACCTTCCCTGGACCCAGCCATGAGGCAGACTCAGTAGTCCAGGGCTCTGGGCTCTGTTAGCAGCCCCTCTTCTGCTAGGAAGGAGATGCGCAGATACCCCCAGAGGGCCCGAGTGACCCTCTGGTGCAATGCAAACCCACGGGGCCCCTGGTCCACAGGGCTGTGTGCTGACACTCGCCCTACCAGCGGTATTATGATGAAATGAGGGAGGCTGGGCTTTACCTGCGTAATCACAGCTGTCCTTAGGGTAGGCACAGTTCCTGTTCTAATTTCTGGCTGAAAATGACCTGCCCGAGGTCACAGAGCTTGTGGCAGAGCTTAAACACCTACCCAGGCATCTCTGAGCTCAGCTGGCTCTGGCGGGGACTCTGCTGTAGTGTGTCCTTACCAGGGAAATCCACTCCATCCGCCTGCATGTTTCCTCCCCTATACATGCAGGAGTGGTGGATCTTACACATCCTGGGATCTTCCCAGGACCAAAGGAAATAAACTGCTTCATGAACTGTAATTTGCTGTGCTCACAGCATCATTTTAAAAAAAAAAAATTTTGTTAGTTGTATATGGACACGATAACTTTATTTATTTGTAAGTGGTGCTGAGGGTTGAACCTAGTGCCTCACATGTTCTAGGCAAGCACTCTACCACTGAGCTACAACTCCAGCCCCAACAGCATCATTTTTTATCCTTAGCATTGTAAGAACCCTGAAGAGTCACCTCAACATCTCAAAATCCCAATTGCATTCTGCACATGTTTACAGTATTTTTGTGGCCCAGACCCTGGGGTCTACCAGGGCCACGCCAAGAGATGAGGCTGTAACGTTCCTGCCCTCTCCAGGTGTCAGCCTCTGGGTGAGGCAGGCCAGGGGAATCATTTCTAGCAAGTGAGATATGATATGAAAGGGCTTTGGGAGCTGGGCGCTGCGGCGCATGACTGTAATTCCAGTGGCTAGGGAGGCTGAGGCAGAGGGTCGCAAGTTCAAAGCCAGCTTTAGCAACTAAGTGAGGCTCTAAGCAACTCAGTGAGATCCTGTCTCTAAATAAAATATAAAAAGGGCTGGGGAGGTTGCTCAGTGGTTAGGGCCTCTGGGTTCAAACCCCGGTACCAAAACCAAACCAAACAAAACAAAAAAATGGGGTAGGGGTGCTCTGAGAGGGTCCAATAGGGAGTCTGATTTACCTAGGGGGTCAGAGCCCACAGTTACAGGACACTGAGGAACAGAGACTTGGAGTGCCCAGAGGGCTCCTGGTGGAGAGAGGCAGGGGGCCCTGAGCTGTGGAGGGCGTAGACACCCTGGTGAGGGAAGGCTCTGCAGAGCACATTACCTGGGGAGGAAAGGCATCATGGGATCCCGTGGATGGGAGGCCCAGTGGGCGCACCTGCATCCAGAGACAGCGCATTCTGGTGTCCTGCATTCCTAACCGTGCCTGACCTCAGGCTGGGCCCCTGGGGCATGGCCTCTGGGCCAGAGGCTCATTCTCTCTCTGTCCCAGGAATTCTCCCGTTTCCATGAGGAGATCACCCCCATGCTGGATGGGATCACCAACAACCGCAAGGAGTGGAAGGCGCTAGCTGACGAATATGAGGCCAAGATGAAGGCGCTGGAGGAGGAGAAGCAGAAGCAGCAGGAGGCCCAGCAAGGTCTGCCCAGGGAAGGACAGGAATCCATAGCCTGCTGCACCTGCTTTGTCCCTATTCTGTGTAGGAGGGCACTGAGGCCAGTGGTCACTGTCAGCTAAGTGGCAGAGCCTGGTTATCAGATGGAGGCCAAGGGGGCTCCAGGCCTCCCAGCTAGAGAGGCTGACTGAGGCTATGGATACCCCACCCCAAGGCAAAGGAAAGATCTAGAAAGGTCAGTTGGAAGGGATTTTAGAGGCCATGTTTCCAGCCTTCTGAATCCTGCCTGTGCGTACTACAGAGGCTCTGTGCCTGACACGAGACTCCCACTCAGCGCCAGTTAGGTCTTCCTTGAACTCACCTGATCCTCTTTGTTGAAGCTTCCATCCAGCTTCAAGTGGGATTTGTCTGCTCCAACTCTTCCCCAGTGACACTGCCACTCGTCATTTCTTTGATCAGCTCCTCCTAGGACTTGGCTTTGAGTCCCTGCCCCACCCTGAGTGCAATCTGTACTCTGTCCCTCTTACACATGGTCGCAGTCAGATCCACAGCTCTGCTCTGCTCTGGGCACTGAGATATGATCCTACATGGGCAGCTGCAAATATGGAGGCACCCTGTTGATTTTGCCAGTTGTTCTTTTCATACCTCTGAGGGCCTCCTACCCATCACAGTCATCACAGATACCTACAGCTATTGCAGTTTTCCAGAAAATGGCAGCAAAGTCTCTGGAGGAAGAAGTGTTTTTCTCTAATTTGCATAAATTATCTTTTGAGCTTGTGGCAGGTTTGTGTGAACTTGTGGCCTGCATTTTTTTTTTCAAATATATACGTGTGTGTGTGTGTGTGTGTGTGTGTGTGTATTTGAAGTGCTTAAGACTTTCAGGACCTTACACAGGCTAGGCGAGTGCCCCACCACTGAGCTATGCCTTGAGCCCCTGCATTTTATTTTTAATGTGAATCTCCCATCCATATTTTAAAATTTGGATAGTTCAAATTTAAAAATACAGATTTCCAGCTTTTCTTTTTAAAAGATCAAGGCCTGGCCACATCAGCCTTTCATTTCTGCATAAGTGATTGAAGCTGAGTGGGTCTCTCCAGTTTGTCACAGTTGCTAGTCCCCCCGACTCCCATGTCTCCCAGACATTAATGCCAAATGTGGATCGTCATTTGTTATCATCTCTGTCCTATTTGTGTGTGTGTGGCGGTGGGCGGGGGGACTGGGGAATTGAACCCAGGGGGTGCTCTACCACTGAGCTACATTCCCAGTCCTTTCTATTTCTTTGAGACAGGGTCTCCCTAAGTTGCCTAGGCTGGGCTTCAATTTGGGATTCTCCTGTCTCAGCCTCCCAAGTAGCTAGGATTTCAGGTGTGTGCCACCCACTTACATGTGGTTTGCCTTCTGCATGTGTGGTTATCTGTTGGTGTCCTAAAGCCCTTGAGTTTTCAACTCTTAGAACAAACCAGGTCAAAGGGGAAGCCCACTGCAGCCTCAAACCAGAGTGCTTAACCACTGAGTCACATCCCCAGCTGTTTTTATATTGTATTTAGAGACAGGGTCTCACTAAGTTGCTGAGGCTGGGTTTGAACTCATGATCCTCCTGCCTCAGGCTCCCAAGCCACTGGGATTATAGGTGTGTTCCACCAGACCAGCTGCAACCTCCTTTTAATCTGTCATGATCTCTTTCCTGTCTGATTACAGCAGCCTACGGAAACCAGCCTGCAGGGAATCCTAACCCTGGGGGTGCACCTGCATCCAAGTCCTGCTGCATCCAGTAGCACCTCCGGCCACTGCTGGTCAGAATGGCACCATCTATTCAAGGAAAGAGGTCACCCAAGCCATCAGAAAGTCACACACCTTGAAAAGTGAAAGCGTCGCGGGATTTGAGTGATGATGGACAATCCATTTACATCTCATCTAGTGGGTTTTGAACATTTTTGTTTTCTAGCCTTGAGAATTGTCCATTAAGCTAAAACCAATATTCTAAGTTTCATAGACATCAATTAGATTCCAGGTTCACCTGCTTGCATAGAGTCATTTTTGTTCTTATACTTCTGTTTAATGTTTCATTATACAAGTTCTTGGTTACTCTCAAAAGTAGAAAATTATAAATTGAGGGCTGGGGTTGTGGCTCAGCGGTAGAGCGCTTGCCTAGCATGTGTGAGTCACTGGATTCGATTCTCAGCAGCATATATAAATAAATGAATAAAATAAAGGCATCTAAAAATAATATTTAAAAAAAAAGAAAATTACAAATCGAATCCCCAGGTACCCATCACCCGGATATGAATATCAAGATTTGGCTACATTTACTTCATCTTCCTTTTTACATTTCTTTTTTTCTCTTTTCTTAGCTGAAATACTTTAAGGTAAATGTGACATACCTTTTCACTCCATATCTTTTCACTCTTCCAACACATCTTGAAAGGACTAAGGGATTTTTCCAGCATAAGCAGGGATTCACACATAGCACAGGAACAGCTCGTGTACGCAGAGATAGCCGTGCAGACCAGTCCTGAATGACAAAGTCCTTCAATACTGGACATGGAGCCCCAGTAACTGTGAGTGCTGTCAGCCGACAGCCTCAGCGCCAGCCCCTTCAGGGTTCTCCTCAGGCACAGGGATACTCTTTGCATTTCCGGAAATCAGCCTGCGGGGAATGAGTGCCCTATACCCAGCGACTGACTCATGCTGGAGAAGCCTGGCCATCTTGACCCACCATGAGGAACTCTGAAAGGCCTTTCTAGCTCCAGGTCTCCCGCGGGGTCCATCAAGGCTGTTGATAAGTTCCCATCACCACTCCCCTCCCTTCCTCTCCCCAGGTAAATCGCCAGGCTTTCCTTACTAAGCATCCTGCAGTCCAAGTATCCCTTTGAGAGTCTGCTTCCTGGGGAACCCAACTTGTGGCAACAACCCTTCATCAACTTCCCCTATTGTCACAAAAATGTCTTTGAGAGCTGATCTGCTTGAATCTGACCCAAACAATTTTCACACATTGAATTTAGTTGCTGTGTTCCTTTATACTTGCTAGATTTTAGGAAGACAGACGTATTCTTGAATCTTCCATTGATTTCAAGGTGTATAAATAAGTTAAGGTAAATCATTCTTAATTGCAGACCTTCAGTTTCGATTCATGGCATTCTGTCGGTTTAAAAATAGAGATTATTTCTTTAAAACCAAATCAAAGTACACTCTGGTGGGTCAGCAATGCCTGCCTGGTACAAGTAGTATTCATGCTATAGTAACCGTGTTGAAAAAGGCAAAAGAAAATGAAAGTGTGGTTCAATCCCCAGCACCAAAAAGAAAACGAAAGTTGAAATTGGCAAAAAGATGGCTGAAAAGTCTGCTCTAAGCTTCTGCTAATTGTCCAAACTCGAATTTTCTTTCTACTGTTTTCCTCTCCCCAGCTTTATTGAAGTAGAACTGACAAATAAAAATGACTTCTATTCAAGGTGATGATGTTCTGATAGACCTATATACGGGGGACTGTCACATGATGGAGCCAACTCATGTCACTACCTCGCACAGTACTGTGGTTCTGACTCTAAGTCTCTATCAGTGACCAACAGTGGTTCTTTCCTCTTTTCCTTCTCCAGTGACTCATGTAGAAGCGAGGTCACTGTCCCACATTCTGGACTGATGTCTTTGTTTCTGTGATGGTGTACAACACATTCCTGTCCCCTATTCTCTTGCAAACAGACATTTCTCCCAAGTAGGTTTTGCAGAAGCTGATGGGTTAAAGCAGTTGCTTTGAGGAGGCGGAACCACATGGTTTCCCGAACTATTCATAAATCCCCAGTCTACTCTAACTCCTCTTTTTATATAAAGGGGGAAATTGAAGACCAGTGAGAGGCTGGAGCTGGGCCAAGTTCATGCGGTTTCCAGGCTTCCCTCTAGCACACAAGAACGCAGTATGCAGGACACACACCACTGTGATTTCCATAGCAGATCAATCTGGGTTCCTGATGCACAAGCCCTGACCTTATTTGCAGGCCATGTCAAAAGGGAGATGGGCCTGGCCTCCCGATTTTGTCCTGCCACACACAAGAGCATTGGTCTTTTAAGCAGGGGCATGTCCCTAAGCATATTATGTGTTGTGGTTAAGTGGCAGAGTGGAGAGGAAAAAAAAAATTGTCACTCATAAACACACAAGCATTGCTGCTGGTAGTCTTGGCTTTGCTACTACATTACTGAGTCCCTGGGACAAGTTCCTTCTGTTCTATTTCTCAGCCTTCTCAACCCACCAACTGAATATCAGGCAAGGGCCCTGCCTCTCAAACAGGGCTAAGGTTAGCACCAAATGAAACTGCAATGATGAGGCTCATGGTTAATGTTTACCAAGTGCTTACAGTGTGCTAGGTACTGTGTATATTCAACTTTGTCCCCACAACAACCCTAGCCCCATTTATCACATGAAGAGCAAACTCAGAGAGGTTAAGAAACTGGTTGCCATTCTGTTCCTTGCTCCATGGGTGGTGCCCACTCAGACGGCTGGTTGGTGGGGCGGGTGAATAGAGCAGAGTCCCGTTCTCCCAGGGCTTACTTCCCATCTAATGGGGTAAGGGGCAACAGACATGGGGCAGCAGTCACACAGAGGCCCTTCCTAATGAATCAATTCACACTGGAGAGCTCTTCTCTATGTAGAAACATCCCTGTTCATTTTAATGGGAAAAATTATGATCCACTCCCCTCCAACTTGAGAAATCCAAACAATTTTCGTAGACTGAAAATTATCACCTGAACAAGGAGAAATGCTTATATACATAATAAACAACAATTTGAGCTGGACATGGTGGCACATGTCTGTAATCCCAGCAGTGAGGCCCTGTCTCTAAAATAAAATATAAAAAGGGCTGGGGATGTGGCTTAGTAGTTAAGCTTCCCCTGGTTCAATCCCCAGTACCAAATAAATAAACAACAATTTGAAAATGGTTTGCACATGACACGAAATGTAACAGGTCATTGTACCTGTTCTTGTTTGTGTGTAATTATCTTCATTGACATTTTGACCTTTGGGGGGCTCATGGGCATCTTGTATACAGACTGAATTTAAAAATCAAGTTCAATTACCAAAAAGCAACTTTAGGGCAAAATGAAAGTTAAACTCTTTTAAATAACGTACATGCATGGGATGCTCTTGGAAGATGACCCTTGCTCACCCAAACATGGCACACGGTTCAGATCTGCTCTCCATGAGACACTTTTGTAATTATGGGGTGGTGAGTGGTTTTGCCTGAAACTGTCAAAATATCTCCTAGAGTACATTTATGTAGTGTGTGTGAAAAACAGAACAAGGAGGTCTTTGTTCAGGAAGTGCCACATGAGACTGCCTGTGAGGTTATTATGAACCGTGAAGAGTACAGTAAAGAAAGGCAGAATAGCTAAGAGAAAGTGACACTGGAACTGGAATTGAGTCCCCATTTAGTGGCCAGAGTGTCCTCAATGAGCTCACAGAACCAATAAAGAAAGACACACCTGGGCAGGGCTGTGGGTGGTATTGTCTTTTTAATCTCCATAGTGTATTTGTTAAGTTTATTTATAAGCAGATCACTTCACTATTTACAGTACATGAGCATAGAGATTCTACAGTTTTTGTGATGTAAACAATAACTCCACCGTGGGAGCTTGAGAAAAGAAGCCAGTTCTGAAGTATTTACAGACGTTAAAATAGAACTTTATACTCACAGAATAATAATACATAGAGCAATTTGGTTAAATTATCTATGAAACTATAGAATCTGACAATGTACAAATACAGGAAAACATTTTCTCATTTAGAAGGTAAGACAGATAAATCACACCAGAAATAAAATAGGGACGATGACAACCACAGGAATTAAAAGCAAAGAAGGTTTCTTCCTTGCCTCTTACGGATAAAGTATTTATATAAATAAGGACACAACCCAACAAAATGGAAAAAATATATAAAAATCCTCTACCAATTAAAAAAAATAGCAAAACTAAAAACTCGATTCTCAATCATTAGCAGTGTCCTTTAAAAAATTAAAGTTTAGCTTTCTATTATAAATAACAAAGCAGATGTGTCCCTCTGTGTAGGTGAAATTCTTGCACCTTTCTCAAGAAATGCATCAATGTAATTTCCACTCACACACTACACACACACACACACACACACAGGTACAGATGTGTGTCCACGTGCATACGCAAGTGCACATGCGCTTGCACACACACACACACACACATACACACACACTTCACAAACACAGCCTTACACTCACACACCCCAGGCTGTAGTTACCTTTGTTGAGCTTCCTAATAAATAATGCCCCCTACAGTAGTATCCCTGGGGATGACAAAACCTCACAAGTTTAGCCACTCCCTGGTTTGACCCTGTCACAGAGCCAGGGAAAGCCCTGGCTCCCTATTGCTCAGAATTCTCTAGGCTGCATGGTCACACCAAGAGAAAAGGATTTTGAGTCCAAGATTTGGAAATGCTGGAAGGGACCATAGGGACCACCTTGCCCCATCGATTAAGGCTAGCTACAGACACCGTCTCTAGACGCCTGGGGGTGGGGAGAGGGAGCTTGTGTTGGTTTCAACATTAGCAGCTGCCTCTGGAGGAAGCAGACTCGCTAAGCCAAAGTTAACAACATGGCACAAGGAGGTGAGGGGGTGGGCGTGAATTTCCGGAGCAGATTGTACTGAGCTGGACTTCCGGATGGTCACCTTCCCCCCAAACCATCTGGAAATCCAGTGTTCCATTGCCCTGTGCCACACAGCACCCGACCACACTCCCCTTGGGATTTCCAACTAGTTTCAATCGGAATCAGAACATCCCTCAAGAAACAAAGTTGGGAATAGTTTATGACTTTGTATTCCTAACATAAATACATTGGACAAGAGTTTTAAATACAAGATACAAAAACAAACAAAAAAACCTGTTTGGCTATTTGGTGGACCACATCAAAGGTCATGGCCAGCGCGCCCCCCAAATCCCACCAATCCTCTTTGCTTGACCTGAAGGTATAATGTGGGCCACTAGCAGAGGTTCACTTAACAAGGTCAGCAGCTGGGCTGCCAGTATTGCAGTTACAGTAAACCCCTCCCGGGCACCTGGATGTAGGGTTCACTCTTATCTTCTCTACTCACAGGATACCTAATGCATTTCTCAGATTGCATGAGTCTAAGTGGCTGCTTCTAGAATCTTCTGACCCTGGTGTCACAGTGGGCTCTGAACACACAAACAGTTCACTCATGCCATTATATTTAATTCCCACAGTTGGAGCTGGAACCGCAATACAGCCAGCGCAAGGGATTTATTTGTCTTCTCTCTGAGTAGTGCTGATAGATACGGTCTTGGCCACTAGATGGCGAACGCGTATTGATAAGGCAAAGTGCGGAGGTGGAAGCTGACCAATTCCCTTCACAAGTACCCACTGAACAGGGTTGGCAAAGCGAAAAAGGAGGCTCTTGGGGAAACCTTTGATAAAAAAAAAATCACAGCATGGAGGGGGTTCTAGCTATATGAACACCTCTTTGAGGAACTGTGGCACAGCATAGGCACTGACCACTGACAAAACCATATTTTACAGGCCCCCAATTTGGATAGTTAGATTTCTGTACTCCTGGATGTAACAAGCCATTCTTATGAAAGAATTTGCAAAAAGCTGTCCCCCTCAATCCTGAAGCCTCAGTCACTGCTGCTATACCATTAGAAACAAAAAAACAAAAGCTGCCCTAAACATATGCAGTGTGATCCGTGCCTCCTGTTGCCCCATATGTTTTACAATCATTTGAAAGAAATGTGTGAAAAGTGCCTAAGTTAAGCTGTTGGGGGTGGGGGGGAATAGTGTATTGCTAGAATTGTCTGAGAAGAGAGAAACAGCCAGTGGTCACAACAAACATTCAGATTAAAAGCTATTCGAAGGGGACAATGACAGGGTTAATGTGAGATTTGACATCACCACCTAACCACGCAGGGGAGAACTACAAGTTCCTTACTGTCCCCACTAGAAACTATGGCTTAGATCTGTCCTGGGGAGCTGGCCTCCTCACATAAGGCAACTCGGCCAGGACCATGTGGGGCCTGCTGCGGGCTGGCGACCGTGCAGAGAGCCCTTACCCTGGACCGGAACTGGGCTCGGCCAGAGAATGGAATTGGTTTCACAGGGAGTGATGAACTCCTCATGTTCCAGGATGGGAATGCACATATCATTCAACAGTCTCATTTGCTGGATGAAGAAGCAGGGGCCTAGGGCCACACCTTGGGGTTTCTTATTCTCAGATGGCTTATAGATAAATGATTTGCTCCATGAACCCATTTTAATCAACGGGGCTATTTTTAATCTTTCTACAAAATTAGGTATCAAGACCTAAACCCATCATTCCCTGTTTCTAGGGCTTCCAACAAAGGCTAGCAAAGGGCGGCTCCTCCTACTGGCTCCCTGCTGGGGCTGCCATCTTGGAAGGCCCCTCTGCTTTCCTC